TTTCCAAGTATCAGGAGCACAAAAGTGATCAAGACCTAGTTGATCCCCTTGAGACGCGCACGGTATACTGAGGGAGAGAGACATGAAAAGAGCTGCTTTGTGCTGTGGTGAATGTGACAGCTGTTCTGAATGAGGTGTGCGGTTGAACAGATAATGCCAGGGTTACCTCTGCTGGTGGTAGGGCTCATGGGGTCAGAAGAGACTCGTGGAAGGCGGTTGATTTGAAGCTCGAATGAGGGACAGGCATTTGCTATGCATAGGAGGCATTTGTAGAGTTACATAGACATGCATTTGCATGGCCATGTAAGAGACATGTAAGTGGCTGCTATGGCTGGCTGGGGATAGAATCAGCAGGACGGAGTCATGGAGGGCAGTGGTGAGGATAGGAAACAAAAGTGTCCGAGATGGGCTCTAAGGCTTTGAGGCTGGGTGTGCCCCATGTCCTACTGGAATAACAATAACCTTTTACTGTTGGGTCACGTTGAATCAAGTTGCTTGGAGACTAGTCAGGGAGCCTGACCAGATGCAGTCAGAGGGCATGGTGGTTACGGGAGTGCAGCTTGGCTGCCTGTGGAGGGGGTCCGGGAAACTCCTAGGGAAGGAGGGTTGAGCTAGGCCTTGAATAAAGACTCATGAGACAGAGAGATGTGGAGGATAGAGGGGAGAGATACGGGTAGGAATGAAAATATGTCAGATAGAGGAAAAACCCACATGATGCATAGAGAGGCACAATGATCGTTGGTGGGCTCTGGGAAATAGCAAAGGTGTCTGGAACAAAAGTATGTGATTGTGGTGGTCAGTGTGCATATGTGTGTACGGGTGTGTCTGCTTGGGTGTATGCTTGGCGTGCGTGGGTGTGAATGTGCTCGTGAATAGGTGTGTGTGCATGCATGGGTGTGCACGTATGTGCATGTGTGTGTGCATGAATGGGTGTGCATGTGTGGGTGTGCATGCATGGGTATGTGTATGTGTTTGGGTGTGGGTGTGTGTGATGGGCTGTGCATGGTGTGTGTGCAGGGGTATGGGCATGGGTTTGTGCATGGGTATGTGGGGGGTGTGTGGGAGTCTGTGCATGAGTGTACATGTGTTTGTGTGTTGGAGAAGAAGGCAGAGTAGACGGTGACCCTATGAAGATAAGCTCAGTCAGTTCAACACCACAATTAGGAGTTTAGACTGTGCCCTAGGAGGTGGGGAGAAAATGGAGGTTTTGAGTGTGGAAGTCACATCATCAGATTTGTACTTAAGAATCATCACTCTGCTTCAAAACTGTAAATGTTGGTTATTTTGGTACACTTAAAAAAAAGATTGAGAATAAGCAGCTGATCCAAAGAGAGTAAGAAATGCCAGTGATCTGCTGATTGTCTTCTCTCTATTTTCGGGTACTTGTAAGCTGGGGTTTTCATGCAGCGCTCTCCGTAGGGTGGGAGGTATGACTGCACCCAGCACCAGCCAGACGGGTGGACTTAGAGCTTCATGCCAATGGAAAGGACAGCGGAACCTGCCCACCAGACTAAATTGCTTGTGTCACCTCCATTGATGAATGTCTGTGACATTGGGACTAGCAATCCCATCAAAGTACCTTTATCGGATTTCACTCTTCATTGACTCAAGTGAAATATCTTAGAGTCAGAAAGCGGAGTCCCTTGCCTCAACTGGGTTGGTTATTTTTTACGGTTTGCACTGAATTGTGGAGATTGGAATATACACATAATAACCAGGGAAGTTATACTCTCCCTGGGCTCACGTGTACTTGCACATAGCTTTACAGAACCTGGCCTCTGGACAGAGACCACAGGTTTGGTTGCCACCTCTACTAGGGTTCTAGTAAGGAAAGAACACCTGGGTTGGTCCTGAGACAACAGGTTGCTTGTTTTATTAAAATTGGGCAAATTCAGGATGGCATGGCCTTTGTACTTCAGTCCTCAGGGCATCCTAGGAAGGGTCAAACGTGGGCATAATCCACGGCCACTTGGCGCTGGGTATGGGAGCTTGCTGCTCTGCTGCGGTGGAGCCGGGACAGTGTCCCAGAGCGGCTTGGTTTATAAAACGGAGCCCTGCTAATGAAAGTACTGATGGGGAATGAAAATAGTCCCAGAGGACCCTGGCCCATGGGACTCAGTTGTTTGGGCAACATCCTGTGCACCCAAAGATTGCCTGTTCAATTCTGGTCAGGGCACCTACCAGGATAGCAGGCTTGATCCCTGGTGGGGATTGTGCAGGAGGCAGCTAATCGATGTTTTGCTCTCACATTGATGTCTCTCTCTTCCCCCTCCTTCCCCACCCTTCTCCTTACCCCCTTTCTTCCTCTCTCTCTAAAATCAATTTAAAAAATCTTAGAAAATAAAGTCCGGAAGGAGCAGTCATTTTCAGGATTACTTCAATCTGATAAATATCTAGGAAGTAACTTTGCCATGTTTCTGTGTGACACTGGGCAAGTCAATCCCCCAGCTGTGTCTCTGCCTCCTTATTTATGAAATACAGTTGTTACGCTGGATTAGTTTTAAGGTATTTTCTGGTCCTGGCAGGCTGTGATTTGGTGATTAACTGCTGAGTAACCACACAGGGTCAGCACTCAGGGCCCCACCCACTCACCCAACAAGAATATATTGAGTATCCACAATGCACCAGGCCCACCAGCAGGTGCTGGCCAGCTTCACCTCTCTGCCTCCCCTTAGTAAACGTAATGGTGAAGTCCGGGTCCAGAGACAGGGCTGACCTGTCATTAACTGGTGATTAATAGCTGGTTTCATCTTTTCCTCCAAGCTGTTGGCTCATTGTTCACTTCTCCCTCCTCTGCCTTCGGCCAAGCTCCTTCGGGCTTCTTTCATCAGGGCTAACATGGCACATGGTTATGTCTGCTCCCGCAAAACTGCCCACTCTTTGGACATAGGGCCCCTTCCTGGGAACTCATAACAAGAATTGCTCCAGCCATGGACAGCAGCTAGGGACTGACCCAGGGGAGGGCTGCAGATGCCAGAACTTCTGCCTGTATTTGCTCATTCATCATCTGTGTCAGACAGTCTGCTGTGTGAATGATGACACATGTGTGGTGTTCTGTTGAGGGAATCATGTACTCTAAGATTAACCCTGAGCTGACAGCCTTTGTGTGTGCTGCATGGAGTCCCATCACCCACCGCCCTTTTTCAGGAGTCCAGAGCAAACCTTGAAAGTCGGAATTGTGGTTGGCAAAGGATAATAGGAAACCTCATATCCATGTGGTTTAGAAATGCGAAGAACAGGTGCATTTATTTCAGGCAGAGAGGCGAGGACCGGGCGGGTAGCTGCTGTGGAAGCAAGAGGCACTGCAGAGAGGGTGCCCAGTACAAGCACGACTCCAACGAACATTCAAGCTGGTGCCTGGGTGGGACTGAGATGAGCTAAGAAGAGAGATTTGTCCCGGGACACTCGGACGTTGTGTGACTGTCATCACAGTCCTGGCCACTGGGAGGGCTCCTCCCCCCTTGGAGAAAGGAGCAAGGTGGACTAGGTGATGGCAGGGGCCCTCGTAGGACTTTCTTCGCCAGTTCATTGGTCAGACAGGCTCAGCTCTGTGGCCCACCCAGCCTGGCATCCACAGTGGTCCCAAGGACTGTGGTGTGGGTATATGGTCATCTGTTTGGACGTCCAGTTCAGAGGCAGTTCCGCTAACACCTTCCTCCTCTTACTGCCCACCCCCATCACTAGGGTGGGTTTGAGGTAGGGTAAGAACCATGTTGGCGTGGGCTCCTCCTCAGTCACTGTTCTTCATTTGGAAAAGGGTAGCTTACCCAGACACCGAACCCTAATTCCTGAGGAGTTGAATATTCAGTCAATACCGAGTGGAAAAGATGTCCTTCCTGCGGCCCCATGAGTTCTTCAGGAGAGTTAAATGCCATTCCAAACCCAGGGCCTTAGAATTAAGCCTCATTTCTATGACAGTGTTAATTTCATCCTCTGTACCCCCATTTGTTCAGGCACATAATAATTATAGCAATGGCTACCATTTTGGGTTTCTTGTTCTCCAGGCATTATACTTAGTACTTTACACACCTCAGTTCATTTAATCCTCAACCATCCTCTTGAAGTATGTTCTGTTGCCCCATTTTACAGATGAGGAAACTGGGTTCACAGGGTTAACAATCCTGCCTAGATCACACCAGCAGAGCTGAGATTGAACTTGCGTGTTCTGACTCCAGAGCCCAAGCGCTCACAAACACACAGGACTTCAGTGCGAAACACTTCCAGGGCACAGTCATCGTCTGACCGATGAGCAGTCCATAGACACTTGTCCCCACGGCCATGAGAGTTACTCCCAGTGGTTTTCTGGGAGAGCAGCTTTAATGAAGAGAGAAAGGGCGGCAGTACCTGCAGCCTTTCTTCAGTGGTCTGTGGTAGCGATGGGGTTCCTCCCAGGGACAGACCCCATCCTCATCGCACCCTTTATCACTTTGACAAAGGTGAGGATGGGGGAACTGGCGCTGGCGGAAGAAATAGAATCTGGTTATTTCAGCCTCTATCAAATGGCACATTGGAAGCTGGAGTGAAACTGCTCCATGATTTCCGCAGCTGTGATGAAGTCACTGGTGTTTGGAGATGCATTCCTACCGAGAGGTTCACTGAGGCATCGGTGTGTCATCTCCCTCCAAGGCTGCTGGTCAGCCCTGGAGGAGCTCTGGGTGCCGCTTCTGGGCACGTTGCTATGCTGCACCCTGTCCTGGGGGCTGGGTGAGCGGACGGGGGCAAAGCCTTTCTGTTCTTTCCGATGTATGGTGAATGCCTTTTCATATCAGTAAGTGATGTTTTACACCCTTTTTAATGGCCGTGTTGCTTCCCCGGTCCATCTGGTGGGGTGAACCTATGCTTCTGGGACAAGGTCTCCTGTCCCCTACCAGTGAGCTGGAACAAGTGGGAGTGCTGGTTCGACCAGCCCTTTCATTTCCTTGGCCTTTAGCCAGGTTCCTGGACAAGAGACCCATGGGGATGGGAGCTTTTGTTAACTTACCTCCTCTTTTCATCCTCAGGCAAAAGAAGGGAAACGTGGCCCACAAACACTGGGCTGGACCTCTGAACCCAGTCAAGTGCAGGCCCTGCCCCGTGGCACAGTCAGCCATGGTCTGCGGCTCCGATGGCCACACCTATACCTCCAAGGTCAGTCACCTTTGTCTGATTTGTCATAAAAAATACTGCATGTCTGTGGGTTCTGAAAGTCTCAGTGCCCAAACGGGCACAATTGTGTGACTCTCCACGTGATGGGCCTTGTTCTTGAGAAGTGGCCACGTGAGCAGACTTTCTGGCCAAAGGGACAAGTGAGACAGAAATGTTACCTCCTGTATCCTGGCGGGGTCAAGGCCTAAAGGGAGAAGGGGTGTGATCCTGAAGTTAATCTGGGGGTGCTTCCTGGAGAAGGTGGGATAGGAAGCTGTCCCAAAGGTACAAGTCGTGCAGCTCGGCTGATGGGGACAAAGCCGGGAGGGAGGCCCTGGACGCTGCCCAAGCGACGCACGGTGATGAAGGGGTGTGACATCAGTGCACGTTCAGCTGCATCTTCGCACATCTAGACACAAGCAGCCCTGCACCAGGCCCAGGGCTCCGGGCTCAGCGGTCCTTTCTCAGGGCACTGGGCTTACAGTCTAATGGGGAGGGCAAGCTCGGTGACAGGTCATTTGCACTCAAACCTCTGAAAAGAAAACGGTTTCATAGGAAGGGGACTGGGGATCAAGTGGGTCTATTTATTCTGGTTGGGAGAATGAGGACGTTTCACCGACGAGGGGCATTTCATTTGGGCTCTAGCAGGAGGCTTTATGGGCGGGGAGGCAGGAGTCAGGCTGGAGAAAGGAGGAGGAGGCAATAATTTGTTCTCAGAACTTCAAACTCCTTGGGATAAGCTTGTCAAATGTGTGTGTGAGAATGGGTCTCTCACTGGGACGATGAATTAAGGAAAAACCACAGAATGAGCAGGAGTTTGCTTACTCGTTCTTGTGTCCAAAAAATACAAACCAGCACCCCTCAGGGCCTGGCACTGTGCCAGGCAGGAAGCAGTTGGCATGCTGTCTCGGGGTTCTGTAAGAAAGGGTGGGGGTTCGGGAGTGGGGCTCTGACCCTCCCATCTCCTCCAGTCCCAGACTTATCCCTCTAATCCCTCCCCCTGCTGTCCTGTGTAAGGTCCCCTTGCAGAATGGAGTCTAGGGCTAAAGAGAGTTGCTATTGGAGACAGATCCCTGGTCACTTGTGGCCACACAGCCATGTGGTTCTCGGGCTCAGGGACTCGGGACATTCTGCTGGATCCCCTTCTGTCCCAGGCCACCACGCTCACAGCTGACCTCTCCTGCTCTCTGTGATCCCATCCCCACCCGGACCCTGGGGCGCCCCCCGCCTGCCGCCCCCAGAGGCATGTTCCCACTGCCGTCGCCGCGTCACTTCGCGGCTCGGCCTGTTGTCCTACTGGTTCCGGGCGCACAGGTCATGTCGTTCTATTCCCTGAGTGTGGAGTGTCTCCTCTCGGATTTCCACACTTTCTAACCACAGGGAGTATATTTAACAAAACAGGTAGCCAGTGAAGGGACGTCTACTTGTCCCCAGACCTGTGTGATCTGCTTATGCCCTCAGTTGCATCAGTCCTGCTGGATTAGTGCCTTTGTTCTTTCAACAGGTACCATCTGAGCCCTTCTTATATGCCAGGCTCTGTGCCAGGTGCTGGGGGAACTTAGAGCGGAAATTAAAACGTTAGCTTTTCTTCATGGCCAGAGTCAGCTATCCTTCCCTCCCGGCCTGCCCTGTGCAGTGAGCGTCTCTGCCCAAGGCGGTGGCTGGGACCCCCGGCCCAGCTCTGCTCACCCCTTCCCAGCCCTCCTCCCTCCCTACTCTCCCCGACCCCTGATGGAATCATGGTTTGAGAAAGTGTGTAATCATGGGGCTTGCTTCTGACCCCCGGCCCCTTGTGGAATAGTGGATTTACGGGGCATTGACTGGATTGACTGGATTTATAAGGGCACTGATGAGTTAGCTCTGTCCCCCACTCCCAAGGACATCTCAGGCCGCCACTGTCTCTCACCTGCAGCCTGGCGTCCAGGTGTGCGCAGTCTCTGGAGATGCCAATGAGTGGTGATGTCGCAGGTCTGGCATGCGGCCTGAGGTCCTGCATTTCTAACAGACTAGAAATGCTGCTGGTCCGTGAACTACACCGAGTAGTAAGGATTCCGTTTCCATGGGCACCTCCTGATAGGTCTCTTTGCTCCAGTCTGCCCTTCCCTGCCCCCAAAGTCCATTTCCACATGATAGAAGGGGGTGTAATTCTGTAACAAACATCTGTCACGTGTCTCCCCCACTGAAGAGGCCTGGCTGGCTTTCCTCTTGCTGCTAGAACTACACTCATACCCTTTGTCCTTACTAACACCGCCCTGGAGCCTGTCACCTTTCTATTCCATACGCACTTACCACAGAAAAATGCTTCCTTCATTTGCTCAGCAACTGTGTAGTGACCACTTAGGTTCTGGGCACTGTGCAGAGTGTGGCGAGAGGCGGTGGGAACAGGACAGACACCGTTGGAGGTTATAGTCTGGTAGGAGAGACACAAATAAATAAGTCACCAGACAAGTAAGTATGTACTTTTGAAATCTGGTGAGTGTTGGAAAGGAAATGAGCGTGGCGCTGAGAGCGAGAGCAAGAGAGGCCTGCTTCCCAGAGGTGGCGAGTGCGGGCCTCCCTGAGGGGGTCCTTGCAGCTGGGGTGTAAGCCGAGGCTCTCGGCAGGATGGACGTGCTGGAGAACTGAGAGGAGCCTGTGTGACTTCCGGAGAGGGGAGGCACAGGAGGGGAGGGGCAGGAGGATGTTGAGAACAGTCCAAGAGGAGACGTTTAGCCAAAGCTGGACGGCGAGCAGATAGTTGAGTAATGCCAGGCTTATAGGACACTTACTATTATTATTTTTTAAAAGACATTAATTTTTTCATGCTTGTTTTATTTATTTTTATTTTGTTTAAATATGCTTTCATTGATTTTTAGAGTGAGAGGAAGGGAGAGGGACAGAGAGGTAAAAACATCCATAGGAGAGAACATCGACTGGCTGCCTCCTGCACGCCCCCTCCTGGGGATTGAGCCCACAACCTGGGCATGTGCCCTGATGGGGAATCGAACCTGGACCTCTTGGTCCATGGAATGATACTCAACCACTGAACCACACTGGCCGGGTTGGGACACTTATTATTATAAGTGCTTTTTTGTCCACACCTGACTTAAGAATGTGAGATCGTAGAGGGAGACACATTGTCACTTACCACTTCAGTCAGGCACAGAACACAGTGCATAGTGGATGCTTCACCAGACAAGACACAGCGCATAGTGGGTGCTCAGTAAGATCACCGACAAGACTCGGCTACCAGGAACACTGGTAGAGGGGAATGGAGAGATTCTGGTCTGGGTAACCCATCAGAGATTTGAGTGAATGGGTTGGAAAGAGCTTAGTGATTGAGAAAAATAAGCCATCACCACCATGGGCCAAGTTGCTTTGTTAAACACCCAGCTGGGGGCTCTGGCAGAGAGTCAGAAGCTCCTTGCAGTGATTCTCTCTTTGTGAGGATCCAGCTTGTGCTGCTCAAATTATTTCTTCCAGCTCTGGAGTAAACTGTCTGATCTTGCGCCTGCGACTGGGGACGAGCTATGAAATGTCAGTGAGTGATGAGGGCTGTGTGGGCGAGTGGCATGTCGCACATCAAACCCCAGCAAAAACCTGCTCACTTGCTTCTGTCTCTCATTTACATGAGGAACTTGGAATGCCAGCTCCCATGACCCCCGAGCTACGAGGAGCAGTGGTAACCTGTCGGGTGTGGCTTGAAATGCTGTCAGTTGTCCAGGGAGTGTCTCTGGAAAGGCCCCCTGGTCAAGGCCCCCCTGCAGTCTGGGCTGGAAAGTTGGCTTTTTGTATGAGAGAAGGGTGCTGTTCACAGATGCTGTTAAATGGCTTAAGTTGCAAGATCAGGATTTGGAAGAGTCCTTTGCAATGACTGGTGAATCTTCGAGAGAGGAGAGACCTCCAGATACGGCTGGGCAGGGCCCTTGAAGGCCTTTTCCAGCACCAGGCTGCTGTTCCCCTAGGGCCCTTGAATTCTACACCAGCCTGACTGAGTCCTCAAACTCCCAGACCTGCTCACTTGTCTTTTCCTGGAGTAAAAGAAGAGACCTAAAGCCTCATCAGCAACTGCAGTGTCCTTCTCCCCATTCTCCATGCAGGGCATACCGAGGCCTGAAGAGCCAAAGACAGTGTCAGGGTTTGACCCATGGCCGTGCCTGGCTGTCTGTGATCACCCATGGCTGTTTGAAGTTAGGGGGAGGGCGGTGGAGGGAAAGCAGCGCAGTGGGGGTGCCGTTGGTGTCCGTTTTGGCAATAGTTGCCTAGTTTTCTGTCTTGTGTGAACTTGCATTCTCTTTTACCTAAAGCAGTGAATCACATATGACTCAACCAAAAGGCATCCGTTGCTGGCTCAAGACCGCTGAAGCCCAGGACAGTTCTAAACCCCCATGGCATTCAGTGTGGCTTCTTCTAGGGGGGGGGGGGGGCATTTCAGTCTGGTTGGGTTCTTACTGGGTGTTTTTGTTGTTGCCCCTAAGCACATGACCACTTGGTTATTGGGGTTTAAGGAGACATTTTAATCTCACAGGCAAAGCTGTTGAGGACCACCAGTGGATGATCAGTTAACAGAATAAATTATTTAAGTCTCAGTGAACAAAAAACTTTCCATCCTCTGCAGCTATGGCCTTTTCTTTCATCAGGAGTCAGGAAACAAGGGACAGATGAGACCATGAGGCATGGTGATTTGATATTATAAATCAAATTCACAAGAATTAGTGTTGGCAGAAGTATATTGCAGGCCCAGTCCCATCATCAATGAAACCAACACCCCATAATAAATAATCTCAGTTCTGCAGATGAGGTGTTCACCCTCTCGCAGATGGTCCGAAGGCGGTGGGGAGCACTGTAAGGAGCAGGAGGAAGAAGCCTGAGCCGCAGCTTGGTCCTTAGCGCTGGTGTTGTCCTTGGGTCATATCAAACAAGCTCTCCCTCTGTTCCTAGAACTGGGGGAATGCATTTAGGACCCTCTGTCTGTAGCAGGGTTCTTTCAGGGGCCCGGCACCGGGGACACCATTCAGAGCTCT